CCTACCTGTGGTCTCTCAAAGAATCCAGACGGTAACTGATCAGCCGGAATCATCATTCTCGGCATGCGAGAGTCAGTCGGAGAAAATAATGCCCAGTTACGGTTACCATCCGTCATCACTTTTAGCTGCCCCATAGCTGCACGGCAGTTCTTCATTTCCATAATATACATCACCTAAGAGTAACCATTTGCCTTTACCGTGGTTGTAAAAGATAATTTACCTCAGCAGTTTTCTGTAAGCACACATCTGGCACACCCCAATCCTCATCCGGCATTTCCGACAAAGTTCTATATGCTGATCGTTTTCCAGTAGAAGTACTCTGTGTGCGCTTAGGCACATTCAGGATTTTTCTGGCTAACTGGGTACTCGCAGATGTCGCCAAATCTCCTATTCGTCCTATCGATAGTGAATCGATGACTTTTTGAATTTCAGGAGATGGAAGGCTGGGATGAATAATTGGTTCAGATGTTTGCTTCATCATGCATTCTCGACGAGCCAGCTCAAGCTGAACAACAGTTTCATTTTAGGTTTTCAGATTAACAAACTTTACCTGCGCTCCAATTATGACCATTGCTTGCCTGCTGTACTTCTTGTCCTTGTTTGGAGGTATTGTAAGACTTAGATTGGCTTTTCGAATATGTTGGTCAGTAAGCCCACCAATAGGTACCTTTAAAATCTTATTTTTTCCGCAAAGAATCTCAGGAGTAGCTCTACTTAGTGGTGAAATAGGTTAATGCGAAAAAATTCAAACCTCGATTAGATCATCCGGCTTCGGAGCTGCGACTGGCGGGATCGTAATCGGCTGACCATTATCCTCCCTTGAAACATTTAGATGTCCGGCACGCCATGCTTGATAGAGATTTTCACGAATCTGCAGTAAAGAACACATACCGAAAAGAACAAGAAGATTAGAATTCTCTACTTACCACCCAGTTCATTCTCTCTTTAACACGCACTACGACAACATCTCCATGTAAAGCACGATTACGATCATGCACTCCGAGAATGAGAAGATCAAGCTGGTCATCACCGTCCGGATTGTCCACATAAGACTCCTCATAATTGCGTTGATTAACGCGAAGTGATCCCTGCAAATCCCACAATTTCGGAGCACATAAGGCTTGGAATACAGTGAGAGTGGTTATTATGAATTTTGAAATGTTGATTTGCATAACAGCAATTACAGCCATCACTTTACGATATTCCATAGGAATTTGCGTGAGTTCAGAT